GCTTACTTGCCGCTGCAATGAAAATATGTTTGTTGTATTGTAAGATAACCATTACAATGCTCCAGATTTTGCCTCAACAATATTGGATAGTGCAGTAGTAAGCAAGCGGGATTCAGCTCGATTATCCTTTTCAATGCTCCAGATTTTGCCTCAACTAAAATATCGTCACCTATTGATGGGTCTAGATCACCAACAATCAAAGCTGCAACTTCTGATGTTGTTGGTAAGTTGTAAGTTCTTGCGTCTTTAGAACATTTACCAATTAATCTCATCTTTATATCCACTCTTGGATTTGTTTCGATCTCAGACCTTGCATTGCGAAATGACTTTACCCAGACATTGTTTTGATCAAGGACGTCTTTAATGTCAACAACAACATCAACATGGATTTTAGATTTATCGTTTCCTCGGCTACAAAAGAATTTAAAATCTTATGAGATCAAGATGGTGCAATAATGACATTTATATGCCAACTATTACACATTAGATGAATTACACATACCTAACTGAGAATATATGATTACTTATCTCGTTTTGTGTGTCATGAATATACAGTTGTGCAAATTTCGTCTTGCTACCGTCTGGCGGCAATAAGCTGCCTATCACGTGAAAATTCTGGCCATACATACGAAAAATTAGAGCTGCACCGCCATTGTTTATGGAATTGTCAATCTTCCCACCCATTGATGTGAAATTAAACATGTTATTATAATACCTAATGTTTTCTAGGAAACATTTTCTTTTTTCCCCGTTGGTGAAGAAAAAATCAAATAACTTTTTAGGTGGTGTTGGTGGTGGTAGGCGAATCTTCCAATGCCCGCAACACGAATAATATTTTGGAGACCCATTTACCTTGTTATTATTAAAATAGTGCAGAACAATGCTCACATATATTGTTCGGATCACCAAGATCTACATAGTCCTCTACACCACAAATTAATGTTTAATTAAGTATAATATACAAACAACATTTTGTACTTTGAATCTTTAATGCTGTACTGCATATATTATATTACCATGAACTGTAATCGGTTCAACTAACTCATCAAATTCATCACTCAAGTTTCATGGAGGAACACGTCTTGGACTGATCGTTTGACTATGACGAGCCGGCGATTTTAATGTTAAACGTGCAATCCTACTACTTCCGTTACCTAAATAATAAATTAATCGTCAATTATACACAAAGACACTATATCATCAATTATACTACTTCCGTTTTGTCTTCTTCTTCCATATGTTGTACTTCCGTTTTGTCTTTGTTGTATGAATTGTTGGTCTACTAAATCGGAAGGATAACAGTACATATGGAATTTGCAGCTTCTACATATTGTTATATACTTAAGGTAATAGACTTATGATTTATTTTTCATCAAATATTATATCTGTTTTATTTCGGATGTGGTATCGTTAGTGTCTAAGTTGTCTACGAATTGTTGTGAGTTCATGATAAAGACATACATTAGTTTTATAATTTTCAAGTTTTCAACTTAACCATACAGTTAAACGATACATGAAAATATAGACTGATGAACCAACCTTTGTTGTGGAACTATTATTTCCTTCTTTTTTTTTCAATAACGATTGACGTAGTGATCTTCTTCATATGCCTTTCTGTTCGTTAAAGGTAGAAAATGTATGTAGATAGCTTGTCTGATTCAAACAGTTACATATATATATATATATATACACAGTTGAACTGCAATAAAAATATTAAATGTTGATGGGTGTAGGCTTTTTTATTCTTGGAAGTCTAAACGGTGATATTATTTTATCACCATTTTCCTATGCAGATGCAATTCAAATGGTTGTGCAAACAATTTCTGAACAAAGGACGGCTGAAACGATTTAATAACTCAAACAGCGATGTTCTCTTCGCATACTATTAATTTCATTGCTTTTGCCTAAAATGGCGTCGTATCGTTCGGGCGGGTTCCCCCCTCCCCGCCCCCCCCCCCCCCCCCAACGATTTGACTTTATTATAGTTAGGATAATAATTTTATAGCTCATTTTAAAGTGTTATTATGGTATACGTACAATTTATTTGGATATGAGTTTATTGAATTTTATTCATAACTGTTCATTAGCATAATATTATATTTTATAGTTATGTTAATTTATTTATGCCTTTAGAATTGCATAAGTTGTGGTGTTTTCGTGAGGCTTTTAAAATCACACACATATATATATATATTCATTTCTCTTTGGGGGGGGGGGGGGGTGTTAGAAATGTTATTATAAGGAATTGAAGTGTGAATATCAAAAGAGGATCTCCTACGGTCTCCACAACCAGACCTGCTTTCCTCAGCTTTTCATTATTGGCCCGTTTGGTTCATGGAATAGGCCGGGAATGACATAGCATTCCCAATAATAGGCATATTCCTTTGTTTGGTAACCATTTCTATTACCAGGAATAATATTCCTAGTAATTGCCTATTACCTCAAATAAGGTAATAGCTATTACTAGGGTCCCCCTGGTATTAGCATATTACTGAACGCTCAGGAATAGATTTTAGAATCTATTTTCTTTTTTACCCCTTTCTTTAACCTAGTTTTTTTTTATCCCATATATAAATTTATCATATTTCACCACCGTCGTCGCCACCACCACCATCACTGCCGCCGCCGCCACCACCACCACCACCATCGCCACAACCGTCGTCGCCCCCACCACCACCGTCGCCCCCACCACTACCACCACCGCCACCACCACCACCACTACCACCCCAGCACCACCACCGCCACCACCACCATCGCCACCACCGCCATCACCATCGTCGCCACCACCACCACTGCCACCAGAACCACTAAAACCACCACCAAGCAGCACCACCGCCACCATGCCCCCACCACCAGTGCCACCAGAACCACTAAAACTACCACCAAGCAGCACCACCGCCACCATACCCCCACCACCACTGCCACAACTGTCACCGTCACCACCACCACCGTCGCCCCCACCACTGCCACTGCCACCGCCACCACCACCACTACCACCCCAGCACTACCACCACCACCACCATCACCACCGCCGCCGCCACCATCGCCACCACCACCACCACTACCACCGCCACCATCACATATTTTTATAAGGGTATTTATGTCTTTTAAAACATATTTCATTTCTATTCATTAAATCAATCAAACACTGTAATATAATTCCTAAAGTTTATTCCTTCCGCGAACCAAACAATAGAATACAATTCCTATTCTATTCCTTGCCTATTCCATTCCTTATGGAATAGCATTCCTATTACCTCAAAATTCATTCCGTGAACCAAACGTACTGTATTTCTCTAAATTTAGAGATTTAGTTAAATGGGTTTATCAAATTCTAAAAAATAGAAAATAATTTTTTATTTTTCAATTTGAAAAAATGATTTTAGTAATCAAATTTTTATTTTTCAATTTTTCATTTGTCTAACTTTTTATTTTTTTTGGTGGACCATAATTCAAAACAACGTCGTGAATATTATGAGTTAAAATAATGTACTTCATGTGTTAGAATAATGTATATTACGTGTTAAAATAATAAAACTTCTGGAGTAATATAATATACATTATACTTTAAAATAATATACATTATGAGTTTTATATATATATATATATATATATATATATATATATATATATATATATATATATATATATATATATATATATATATATTACAGCGGATCATGTGAAAAAATACACAAATAATGTCATTTTTAGACTGTGATCTACACAGCTATGTGGATGGTCCACGCAATAACTATTGTTACTAAGACCATCTCCAACCAGGCGCCAAAGCACCAAATTTAGAGGAATAGAGGGCATAGTAGTGCTCCAACCAACGCGCCATTGCACCAAATTTTTGGTGCAGAATGAATAGTGTAGCGCCATATTTCGCGTTGCACTATTCATCCTACGCCATTTTTGGTATGGATTTATTTTCCTCATTTTGCCCCACCTTTGTTCTTAATCTTTTTTTATAATTTCTTTTGTATCCTTTATATATTTATATATAAATATATATATATATATATATATATATATATATATATATATATATATATATATATATATATATTTACATATTTTGTTAAATATTTAAACATAAATTGTATATTATTAAAAAAATATATATCATTTGAAAGATCTCATCAAGACGATTAAAATATGACTAATATTGAATATAATTTAATTAAAAATTAAATTACATAAAATATAATTAAAGTTTAATTTATTAAATTACAACTATATATTATATTAAAATAATAAAAGTATAAATATAAACTTTTAATTTATGTGAATATAAATTATTTTAGTGTAGGAATAAAATTTGGTGTAAGAATATGCTGGAAATATTTCTTTTGGTGTAAAATTTGGTGAAGAATTTGATGTTTTGGGTTTAGATGGCCTAAACGCATATGTTTAAAACAAAAAACAAAAATAAAAAAAAAAACAAAAAAAAAAAAACAAAAAACAAGAAGGAGAGAAAGTGTTTATGAAGAAGAAGAAGTAAATAGGGTCGGATTTTGGACTATGCAAGCTGAGTTACAGCACAGGGCTTCAAACTTTAGAGGTGTCCCCAAATTTTAGAGGCTCCAATTAACCTTAAAAGACTTTGTGAAGAAATGGTTGAAGGTTGAAACATGTGTTTATTGTATTTCAACTTGAAAGTCAAAGGTTCAAGACTTGTAAGTTGCCTTAACTTTGGATATCTTCTTAAATACGTATTAAAAAAATACAATATTGATTTTAAAGATTGTAATTTTGATAGAGTCTCATTTATTTACTATAACATAGAAAAACCAACTATGGGAGGAGAGAAAGTGTTAAAAGTCAAATTTAACAAAAAGTCAAATTTAACAATGAGACAAAAAACTGAATTGTACCTCGTTCGTGGCGTCATACAACTCGTCATGTCAGTTTTTCGTCCCCTCCTCGGCTTCTCCGTCCGTAACATAAATTTTCTCGTTCATTCAAAATTCGAAGTATCAGTGAAATTGACCTAATCACGCTCTATCTACTGTTCCATTTCCTGCGCGGCCAGCCGGCCACCATAGTCCAGTGAAAAACTCCTAATCTCCTATACCCAGAGAGAGAATCTAAGCAGAGAAGGAGACAGGGCCTAGTCTGAAATGTTAGAGACAATGAAATTTTCAAGTACTTTGACAGGTAAAGATATTGTCTCGGCACTCTGGGTATCTCTATTCTCTAGTTTGTGCTTCTCCTTCTGCCTTGATAATTCTTCTAATTTTAAACATTTCATTAGATTATTGCATGTTAAACTTGGAATATTTTATTCCTAATTAGTCACTAATCCTGTTAAATTATAAGTCTTTCTTTAGCATTTGAGTCTTCGATGACAGCGAATTTGAGGTATATTAGAATTTTTTTCACTTTTAATCCAATGACTTAGAGTCTCCATTAATATAATTTGGGTTCACAACTTTCATTACTCACATAAGTAGGACATGACAGAATGAAAACTCACCGCATGTAGCACTTCTCAGTCAAATTGAGAAGTTAACAGACAAGGTGGAAGAATTTCACATTATTAGGATTAACTTCTGGGTTTGACTGGAATGGTACTTATTTTGGGAATGACCTAGAAGTGATAAAACTCACTGGAACTACCACTTCTTGGTCAAACCAAAAAGTTTACCGACAAGATGTAAGAACGCATCTACCATTTCTCAATCAAACTGAGAAGTTAACAAACAAGGTGGAAGAATTTCACCTTAGAATTAACTTCTCGGTTTTACTGGAATGGTACTTATTTTGGGAATGACCGAGAAGTGATAAAACTCACTAGAAGTACCACTTCTAGAAGTTAACTGACAAGATGTATGAATTCCACCTTATGGTTAACTTTTCTGTTTGACTGAGAATTGGTACTTATGTCGGGAATGACCAAGAAGTGATATTTTCGGTGAGTTTTCATCGGTCATGTAGTTGAAATGATCAAATCTGGAAAAAAAAAAAAAAAAATCAAAGTGGAACTCTACTTATGTCAGAATGAAAGTTGTGAACCTAAGTTGAAGGAGATTCCAAAGTAGGACCGAAAGTGGAAAAAAAAAAAAAAAACCTCTACATTTGTCTTCTTTTTTTTTTTTTTTTTTTGGATAAAAAAGGAAGCGGGACACCCGAGTTTAACTAGTACAATATTCCCATTGGTACCACGTTGGGATGCCTGCCAGATCATCTTTAAGAGCATTCACCACAAGCGTAGGTGGGGCTTCCAAGATGTATGGTAGTACCAGCCGTGAAATTCCCAGCATTTGTTGCCAAGATATCGGCCGCCTTATTTTAATTTGCTCTCGGACGATGTGAACCAGTCTCCAAACACCCGTTCTTTCAAGCTCACTCTTACATGCATGGAGAATGTTATCAACAGCACTGCTCACGCACTACAAGAAAAATGCACATAGACAACACTAGAAAGACAACAGTTTTTAAGAAAAGTGTTGTCTTTTGTATAAAAGACAACAGTTTGGTCCAAAACCGTTGTCTTTGATGCAACACTTTTGTCAAAGACAACGGTTTTTACTTAACCGTTGTTATAAGTGTGTTGTCTTTGTGCATTTTGTGAAAAGACAACACCACAACGACAACGGTTTTTAAAAACCGTTGTCTATGTGCGTTTTTTTTTTAAATAAGACAACGGTTTTTTTAACTGTTGTCGTTGGTGTGTTGTCTTTAAGCGCACTGGAATACACAACACTAGAAAGACAACGGTTGTTTAAAACCGTTGTCTTTGTGCGCTCTTTTTTTAAAAAAAGACAACGGTTTTATTTAACCGTTGTCGTTGGTGTGTTGTCGTTAAACACAATCGAATACACAACACTAAAACGACAACGGTTTTATAAAACCGTTGTCTTTGCATGTTCGTTATTTGTTTAAGACAACGGTTTTATTTAACCGTTGTCTTTGGTATGTTGTCTTTAAGTGTATTTGAATACACAACACTATAAAGACAACGGTTTTAAACAACCGTTGTCGTTGCGCATCATTATTTAACAGGTATATAAAATAAAAATGAAGATGTTAACTAGAAGAGTCGAACCTATGACCTCATGCTTAACAAGTACACAATTTTACCAACTACACAACACAACCTCTTATGTTTAAAAGTGCAACATCTGGTATATAACTGGGTTGCTTCTGTGTTGTTTGTGAAAACCAAGACAACAATTTTAGAAAATAGTTAAAGAATTCCCCCCAAGAAGAATAGAACCTAGGACCACTAACATAATAAACTAAGTTAAACCCACCAAGCGACAACAACACTTATGTAGACTACAAGAAAAACAGCTTTTAGTGACAAAAATTTAGTGACGGGTAAAAAAATCCCTCATTAAATGTATTGTTTGCATAATTTTTGTGACGGTTAAAAATTACTCTAGTTAAAAGTTTATGATTTAGTGACGAAATTTTAATTTTATATTTATATTAAAAATATACTCTCACTATTAGTACAAAAGATGTGTTACTCTCACTAACAAGCTAAGGTTAGCTATATGTTGGTAATCGACCCTTCCGGCTAGCGCATGACTAACAAGGTTGAAACTGTTGGTAATCGACCCCTCCGGCATGCCTGAAACACGTTGAGAATGGATATGAAAGAGTAGTTGATCGATGCCGTACAATTTTCTATATCCCATTTCTTTTGCCGCCGCGATCTTAATTAGCTGTATGTCATAATTACCAAACTATATATTCATAATTTTTGAATTGAAATGCATATTCATAATGATTGAATAACTCTGATCTATATTCACATACAATTACAGAACGTTGTGTTTATAATTTGCGATGTTCATATTCCCAAGTGTTTATAACTATACATTTTAGAAATTGTGAATCAACAATACAGAAATTATGAATCTGCAGTATAGAAATTATGAATTTACTATATATAAATTATTAATCTATACAACTGTATTTAAATTAGAAATTATGAATCTACATTATAGAAATCTATGAATCTCGTGTTCTGTACCTATATACCCGATTCTATTTTAATTGACCGGATGTAGCGACTCGAGTAATTAAATTATTATTTTGTTATGAAATTTCCCTCTAAGCTAAGACAAATTAAAATTTCCCTCTAAGACAAACTTGGGAAATTTTTGTCTTCCCTCCCAGACAAAAGAGCGCAAAATTAGGGTTAGTCCAAAATTGTCTCCGCCACGCCAGTCTTCCCTCTCCGCCACGCCAGTCTTCCCTCTCCGCCACGCCAGTCTTCCCTCTCCGCCACGCCAGTCTTCCCTCTCCGCCACGCCGGTCTTCCCTCTCCGCCACGCCAGTCTCCGATAACCTCCTCGTGTGCTCTCCGCCGACGGCGTACCGCCCTCGCCGACCGCCGACTGCGTACCGCCCTCGCCGACCGCCGACCGCGTACCGCCCTCGCCGACCGCCGACTGCGTACCGCCCTCGCCGACCGCCGACCGCGTACAGGAGAAAACACGTGTGCGAGCTACTCTTCCTTCTGAACCACAGCGCATGAATGGAAGGTATAAGCTTATATGGCTTTGTGTTTTTCATGCTCTGTGTTCAAACTTTGGTCCTATGCTCTGAATATTTGACCTGATGTTTCAGGCCGGCCCTTTGTTACTGGTACACTCTTCATAGACATGTAGTATCTGTTAGTTCATTGATTGGATTGGACATGATTGATATAAAAGATGGGAATAGAGTAGGAGGAAAACAAGTTGCAGTTTGAGAAAGCAAACCTTAAATCTTTTGATCACAACCTTAAATCTGTTGAGATATAGCCACATAAAAGCAGTGGGAGTGCAGAACAAAGTCCTTGTACATAATTGAGGAAGCTTGTAGTATTTGATCCTTCTGTTGACTGTTTGAGTAATAGAAATTGATGTAATTAGTTTGTAACATTCTGCAGATGGTTGAACTAGGAAGACTGAGGAGGAGGATAATACACTGAGAGCTGCTGTGGAAGCTTTTGGTGAGAGTAATTGGCAGGTTGTTGCTGCTTCCCTTGAAGGACGGACAGTTACCCAGTGCTCCAATAGGTCAGTTATATTTTTTAATGGTTAGAGTTTGTCATGGCATGTTTATTATTGAGGTTGAGGTAATCAAACTATTCTATGTGATATTGGCACTAGGAAATCTTAGTTTTTTGCAGAATTATATTGCTTAATTTGTTCTGAGGTAACTGCCACATTAAGGTTATGATTGATACTTTTTAATGAATTCAAGTGTTATCATTTATTCTGCCTAATCTGTTGTGAAAGGATTCACATGTGGTTGAAAGTAAATTTGTAGTTATATGAGTACTTGAGCCTTTGACTACACATTGCAGTTGAATGAAATAGAGTATACTTATGCAGATTTACTTCAAGGTATTAATGAAGTTATTGTATTCTTAAGTCTGTAATATGTATGGTGGTATTTATATCTCTCTCTTTTGCCATTCCACCATGTCAGACCTCTCTCAAACCTTACTACTCCTTGCTCCATTTATACCTCCCCTCAGATTCTTCCTATCACTTCCATTCTCGTTACTTTTTCTAGCAGCCCTATTTGTTCGATATGAATTGGTATAATTGTATAATTTTATAATTTTATAATTTTATAATTTTATTTATACACCATGTCAGACCTCTCTCAATGTGGTTTTTGTTTTGGTAGTTACTACTAATTGTATAATTTTTAAGCGATATGAATTTATTTTTCTTGTCACTTGACTGTTTTGTAGCATTGGTGTATAAATAAACAATGGACAAAGAATGGATGTCAAAAGATAGATTATGTTATGAATATGAGGTTGGAGTAGAATCTTTTTTACAATTTGCTAAAAAAAATGCCGTTGATCCTAATTCAATATCATGCCCATGTGCAATATGTGGCAACCTAAGGAAGCAACCTCTTGATACTATAAGGGCACACTTGTACCGTAATGGAATGGATGGAACGTATGTGTCATGGATATGGCACGGGGAGAAGGCTACGTTAAACAACTCAATAGATGATGGCGGTCTAATTAGGGGAGAAGAGCATAATCGTGTTGATGAAAATCCTATAGATATGGTAAATGCTGCTTATGACGAATACGTTGAGGATCCCAACAAATTTAGTAAATTACTAGAAGATGCAGAGAAACCGCTATACGTTGGATGTACTACGTTTACAAAACTATCAGCGGTAGTGAAGTTAGATATAAGTGTTTGTATATGTTAAATTGTAATGCACATGCAAATCTTATTTAACATTTGTAGGCTCCTCGTCAGCCGGATAGTAACCAATGCGGTTTCTATGTCATGGCTTACCTGAAGACTTTAATTGAGAACATGCCGGACATTGATGATAAAGATTCTGTTCAAGCACTGGTAATAATTCAATTTCTAATTCGTGTTTAAAATTATTTTGATTTCAATGTTTCAAAGTGGAAATATGATGCATTTGAGATTCTTGTTGCCAGTATAATTTTGAGTACTCCATTTATTGTTGATGTCTATTGAATGAATGCTTTTTAGTTTTTAATTTGATCATTTTATTCACAAAGTTTAAAGTGGAGAGATTAGAGAAAATACAAAAGCTCTTGCCTTTAGAACTGCTAAAACTCTATTACCGTATATTGGTTCTTGAAAATTACTCCTAACTTATTTCGAATTTCATTGCAATTACTAATTTATTTACTCACTTTTTACATGTAGTTCCAACAAGTTGAATATGACAAAGCGGTTATTGATCTGGTGCGTTCTGAATGGGCCGATATTATATCAAGTTATATACAGTAGGTATGATTTGATCATTAGAACGTTGTGATCTTTTAGACTTCGTGGAATTGTTTGTTGTAGTATTATGATGACTTCGTCGAATTGTTTTTTGTATTATTATGACTTGGATGATATTTGATTCGATGAGAATTGGTCATGGAAGTATTTACACTTGTTATTTTGAACCTTAGCTTGTGCAAAATTATGTAACTACAGTTGGCCATGGTGAATGGATAAATTGTTTTTTGGTATATGATTAAAATTTAAGCAGGTTAAAAACCGTTGAGACAACGGTTAAAAATCGTTGTCTATTTTACAATAGACAACAATTTGAAACTGTTGTCTTTTCTACAAAAGACAACAGTTTATCTGCGTGACTTTTAACAACAGCGATTTCAACAACACACAATAGACAACAGTTTATAACTGTTGTCTTTTAAAGAAAAGACAACAGTTACAAAACCGTTGTCTATGTGCATCACTTTTAACAACACCGGTTTCAAAAACATTGAATAGACAACGGGTCAAAAACCGTTGTCGTTGATAGAAATGACAACGGTTTATAACCGTTGTCTATGTGTGTGACTTTTAACAACACCGGTTTCAACAACACTTAATAGACAACGGTTCGAAAACCGTTGTCTTTACAAGAAAAGACAACGGTTAAAAACCGTTGTCTATGTGTATGACTTTTAACAACACCGGTTTCAACAACATTGAATAGACAACGGTTCGAAAACCGTTGTCGTTTCTAAAAAAGACAACGGTTAAAAACCGTTGTCTATGTGTATGACTTTTAACAACACCGGTTTCAACAACACTTAATAGACAACGGTTCGAAAACCGTTGTCGTCTCAAGAAAAGACAACGGTTTTTAACCGTTGTCTATGTGCATGACTTTTAACAACACCGGTTTCAACAACACCTAATAGACAACGGTTCGAAAACCGTTGTCGTTTCAAGAAAAGACAACGGTTTTTAACCGTTGTCTATGTGCGTGACTTTTAACAACACCGGTTTCAACAACACTTAATAGACAACGGTTAGAAAACCGTTGTCGTTTCTAGAAATGACAACGGTTTAAAACCGTTGTCTATGTGCGTGACTTTTAACAACACTGGTTTCAACAACACTTAATAGACAACGGTTGAAAAACCGTTGTCGTTTCTAGAAAAGACAACGGTTAAAAACCGTTGTCTATGCGCGTGACCTACAACAACACCGGCTTCAACAACAGAAGTTTTACCCCTACGACAACGGTTATTAACCGTTGTCTATGTGCATTTTTCTTGTAGTGTTGACAGAAAATGTGAGATGATGCAAATCACAATAACTCAGCGATTCAGTAAACATGGTCAAATAAGTTAGTAAATTAAGCCTGTGTGAATTCCTTTTCCTTTTTTTTTTCCCTCTCTCTTTGTTGCTCTTAAAAAATCATGAAAAAAAAAAAAAAAAAACCCACAATTGAAGTTGGCTATTATATATTAAAAAAAAAAAAAAAAAAAAAAAAAAAGTCATTCTTCAAACTCTGATCTAAATGGATATTTTAATCTACTTATTGCGGCCGCCTCATGTGCGTCATTGCCATTTAGGCCCTATTCGTTTTCTGTATTGTGATCCCAGCAAACTAACGCTACAGAAATGGTGGACAACCTATCCGCCGAAGAGTGGCTATGGCGTTCACAAGAGCTTGTCCCGGTGGCGCTGGAGAAGGCCAGGAAGGTTAAAGGATTCCCCAGTAGGTGGAAGGTGATTATTTCCAAATTGGAGCAGATCCCATCAAGATTGTCAGATTTGTCTACTCATCCGTTCTTCTCCAAAAACGCTCTGTGTAAGGAGCAGCTGCAGGCCGTATGGAACACACTGAATGAAGCAATTGAGTTTGCCGAGATGTGTGCGAAAGAGAAGTATGAGGGAAAGCTTCGGATGCAAAGCGATTTGGATGTTTTATCTGGGAAATTGGATCTGAGTTTACGCGATTGTGGGCTTTTAATCAAGACTAGGATGCTGGGTGAAGTTACTATGAACACTGTAGCAGAACCAGAACCAGATAGAAGGGATTTAAGAGAATTGCTTGCCCGGCTTCAAATAGGGCACTTGGAAGCTAAGCATAGGGCTCTTGATGGGCTTCTTGAAGCCATGAAAGATGATGAAAACACCATTCTGGAAGTCTTGACCCGTAGCAATGTTTCTGCTATAGTCCAGTTACTCACAGCATCTTCTCCTCAAATGAGAGAAAAGGCAGTCACAGTGATCTGCTCACTTTCAGAATCTGGGTGTTGTGAGAAATGGCTAGTTTCAGAGAAAGTGATTCCCCCTCTTATACGCCTTCTTGATTCCGGGTCTTCTCTGGGTAAGGAGAAGGCTGCTATTTCTCTTCAGAGATTGTCAATGTCAGCAGAAACTGCCGGGTTGATTGTTGGCCATGGAGGGATTAGGCCATTGATTGAGATCTGTCATACCCAGGATTCTGTTTCTCAGGCTGCAGCTGCTTGTGCACTGAAAAATATATCCGTTGTCCCCGAGGCCCGACAAGGTCTTGGCAACGAAGGCGTCGTGGAGGCGATGATCAATCTTCTCGATTGCAGTACGGGTCCCGAGTTAAAAGACTACGCCGCTCAGTGCTTGCAGAACATCACTTCCGGTTCCAGTGATGATGAGCTTAGAAGATGTGTTATTGAGGAGGGTGGACTTCCCAGCCTGGTTTCATGTTTACCTCATGAATCTGCAGTGGGCGCGTTAGCAAATTTGGTCGGCTATGTCCCCGTCGAGACATTGGTTTCACTCGGTGTCCTTCCAAGATTGGTTCATGTCGTCAGATGTGGATCAATTGGTGCAAAGCAGTCTGCAGTGTCTGCAATCTGCAGAATTAGTACCTCTCCCGAAGCGAAAAAGGCGGTGGGCGAGAGCGGGTGCATCCCGCTTCTCGTCAAGACGCTTGTCGTGGCAAAAGAGAATAACGGGTTGAGAGAGGCTGCTGCCCAAGCAATTTCCATCTTGATGACCCTCGGACAGAATTGCAGGGAAGTGAAGAAGGACGACGATAGCGTGCCAAATCTGGTGCAATTGCTCGACCCGAGCCCTCACAACGCTGCAAAGAAGTACGCCGCTTCTTGCCTGGTGTTGCTGTCGTCGAGCAAGAAATGCAAGAAGCTAATGATCTCCCACGGGGCGATCGGATATCTCAAGAAACTTAGCGAGATGGATGTCCCGGGTGCCAAGAAGCTACTCGAGCGTCTCGAAAGAGGGAATTCGATATCTGGTTTGTTTAGTAGGTGAAGTACAACTTCTGCATAGTCTGACTTTGGGTTTCAATATCTCAAACAAAGTGACATTAACTGCAAAACATAGAGCTTGTTAACCTATGCAACCTATGCGACTTGATGTACATCAAATAAGAATATAAATTGTGGAAATCATCATTCTAGTTTTCTTCTTTATATTTACAACATTAATTTGTGATTCTTTGGATTGAAATCCTATACTAGCTAGTGTACAATTGATAGATTTCTCATTCACTATGGAAAAAAGGTTAATTGTCCATTGCAATCCTGCCTGCATTGTGTTATGAACTGATCGTCACAGGCAGGAAAAATAAGATAGAAAATAGCATAGAACTGATCTGGGTTTTCTTGAGGCCCCAGAACTCCCTAATTCCCTTTGCTGGGATAAAAATTCTCCTCCTTTTTATTAGAATTGGTTCCCCTTTTTATAGGGTAAAATACAACTCATAAAATAGGAAATAAACTAAATAAGCTGACTAGCTAAGTAATATGCTAAAATATTCCAACTTACTAAATAACGAAAGTATCTATAAAATAAGGAAATAGGTTTCCAAAAAACTGAAATAAGTATCTTTCTAAATAACCTCAACTTTCCAATTCTTTCCTAGGGGCTTCCTTTCTACCCCAACTTTCCTATTGTTGCCTCATCCTGCTTGTTCTTGGTTCTACGAGAATAATGCTGCCCCCAAAATGCATCATTACTCCCCTCCGGGACATCAAGCTTGTCCGCAAGCTTGAAATCAGGAAACTGTAAGACAAAGTTACTTAACACTTCCCAAGTGGCGTCCTCTATGGGAAACCCCTGCCACTGGACTAATATCTCCCTTACACCACGGTTGAGTCTGCACTTAAACACTGCCTCAGGCTGCAAAATCACTCGGCCATCTCTTGTAGCTGGTAGTGGAGAAAACAAGGAGGGAGCATTGCCCGTGAATGGCTTAAGCAAGAATACGTGAAACACATTATGCACGCGTGACTCCGGGGGAAACTCCAATTGATAGGCGACCTTACCAACTCGTTTCAGTATTCGAAAGGGGCCATAAAATCGTGGGGACAATTTATTATTCCACCGTCGGGCTAAGGAATTCTGCCGATATGGCTGCAACTTCACCCAAACCCACTGGCCTTCGTCAAACTCCACAGCTCGATGGAGGCGGTTATATGCTTGTTCCATCCTCGATTGGGCCAACTGGAGGTGATGTCGTGCGTCATGGAGAACCTCATCTCGAGACTGCAAAGCTGCATCCACTGCGTCCACTTTAGACGTACCTGGTTCATAGGATAAAAGACGTGGAGGTGGCCTGCCATACACAATCTGAAAAGGGGTTGAATGGAGGGCAGAGTGGAAAGCAGTATTGTAACAATACTCAACCCATGGGAGAATGTCTGTCCACTTCCGAGGGTGATCTCCAACCAGGCATCGCAAGTAGACCTCAATAGTTCTGTTCACCACCTCTGTTTGGCCATCAGATTGTGGGTGGTAGGAGGAAGAAAAATTCAATTTAGCTCCGCTCAAGAGGAATAACTCCTTCCAGAAGTTACTCAAAAAAACAGAATCTCGATCACTCACAATAGACTCTGGCAACCCATGTAACTTAAAAACATTGGCAAAAAACACTTGAGCAACCATGGCTGCTGAAAATGGATGTTGTAAAGCCATAAAATGGCTGTACTTTGAAAACCGGTCAACCACCACAAATATCACTGACTTTCCTCCCACCTTTGGCAACCCTTCAATAAAATCCATGGAGATATCTGACCATATATGGGCTGGTATAGGCAGTGGCTGTAGCACCCCAGATGGGTGGCAATTTTCCCACTTCTGTCGTTGGCACTCTGCGCAGCTACCTACAAAAGAATGCACCATACTATTTAAACCAGGCCAAGTAAAATCACGACGAACTCGGTGAATCGTTTTCTGGACTCCTTCGTGGGTGGCATCATGGACTTCTCGTAGCACACGATTGACAAGTTCAGAATCTGGAGGAATGAAGATTTTTTTCTTATAAAGAAGGAGGCCGTCAGAGAGTTGCCAAAGGTCGTTTCCTGGTTGTCCGACCTTTTGCAAAAAGGGTGAGTATGAACGGGAAGTGTGTACTGCCTCCTTGATGGCACCCAACAACACGGAGTGGATCATAGAAATTGCATAGCAGTGTTCTGGAGTCTGATCCCTGTGAGACAAAGCATCTGCCACTGCATTGAGCTTCCCTGGTTTGTATTCCACCACAAAATCAAAGCCCAAGAGTTTACTCATCCAATGTTGCTGGGGAGAGGTAGATAGGCGCTGCTGTAGCAAATACTTGAGACTATAGTGATCCGTTCGAATAATAAATGATCGTCCCCATAAATAGTGACGCCAATGGCGAATTGCTTGCGCTAAACCAATTAACTCCCTCTCATATGCAGCAAGCTTTTGATGATGATCAGCAAGCTTTTTGCTAAAGAAAGCAATGGGATGCATGGCCTGCTGCAAAACTGCACCTACCCCGCTACCTGAAGCATCACACTCGACGACAAAGGATTGGGCGAAATCAGGAAGGTGCAAGACCGGAGCAGAGGTGAGGGCGTGTTTCAAGGTTTCGAATGCTTTGGTAGCCTCCCTTGACCACACAAAAGAATGCTTGCGGAGTAAGTTGGTGAGAGGTGCTGCGATGACGCCATAGTCACGAATAAACCGACGGTAGAACCCTGCTAGTCCCAAGAACCCACGAAGACTGGTCGGGGAATTGGGAATTGGCCAGTCACGTACTGCCTGTACTTTGTCTTCATCGACAGCCACACCTTGATCGCTAATAACATGGCCAAGATAACGAACCTGGTTGTCTCCAAAAACACATTTGGACTTTTTCAAGAACAAGCTGTGTTGTAGTAGTAATTCAAAAACCATGCGGATGTGTTGAATATGCTCTGCCCAAGTAGCACTATAAATCAGAATGTCATCAAAGAAAACCAATACGAACTTACGAAGGAAAGGCCCAAAGACTTCGTTCATCAAAGATTGAAAAGTTGACGGGGCATTCGTGAGCCCGAACGGCATGACCAAAAATTCGAAATGGCCATGGTGAGTCCGAAATGCTGTTTTCTCCACATCCTCCGGGCGCATCCGTATTTGGTGATAGCCGGAGCGCAAGTCCAACTTGGTAAAGACTCGGGACCCATGTAATTCATCAAGAAGCTCATCAATGACCGGAATTGGGAATTTATCCTTAATAGTGCGAGCATTTAGTTCTCGATAATCAACACAGAAACGCCAAGTCCCATCTTGCTTCTTAACCAAAAGTACCGGAGAAGAGAATGGTGATTTACTCGGCTGAATAATCCCATGTTCAAGCATATCGGCACACTGTTTCTCAATTTCATCCTTGAGTACTTGGGGGTACCTATAAGGATGAACCGCAACTGGGTCAGAACCAGCAGACAATACAATTCGATGATCACACGATCGGGATGGTGGCAGTGTTTGAGACTTCCCGGAACAAGGGGTCAAATTCTGATAGAAGGACGTTCAAAATGTCTTGGTTGGAAGCAGGCAACAAGGAATTAACGGCAGCCAATGCATGGGGAGTGTCGCTGGACCATGAGACCAATTTTCCATTCAAGAAAAATTGCATCGTCAAGGAATTAAAATCCCACCAAATTGGTCCAAGGGTGCTAAGCCATTGAATTCCTAAGACCAAGTCAAAACCCACCAGTGGAATCTGAAACAAATTTACTAAAAACGAATCGGGGCCCTTAGAAACCAAAACTTGCTCACATAGACCAGTGCTTGAGAGAGAATCCCCATTTGCCACAGCGACCTTTATTCCCGGACGAGGAGCCGTAGGAAGAGACAACCCAAGTGCAGTAGTAGTATTGATGAAATTATGGGTGCTCCCCGTATCCACCAACGCAAGCAGCGGTGTGCCCTCAATCAACACTTGAAGTTTCATCATCTCCCCTGTTGACACACCCGTTATCGCATGAAGGGATATTTCTGCCACCTCAAGGTCCTCAATGGTAGTTTCATCACTTTCCTCTTCCTCATTAATGCCTAGGACACAAAATAGGTGTTTGCACCGATGGCCGCGAGACCACGTCTCATCACAGTTAAAACAAAGGCCCTTGGATTTACGTTCTTCTTGCTCCGCGGGCGACAATCGGCGAATTGGAGGGGGTTTGTGACCAGGTTTCAGCGTAGCTTGCGGTCTGGAGTTGGTAACAGTCACCAAGTTGCTCCCTGTAGGGGCTGGCAGCGGCCGTGGGGGCTGCCTAAATGTTCCTTTTTGCATCAAAAGGAGTCGTCGGTAAAAATCACGGGAAGTATTAATGGCCTCGGCCAAGGTGCAGGGCTTACTGCGTTCCACATCAATTCGGAGCAACTCGTCTAATCCTGCTGTAAATAAATCGACTTGCTGGTCAATGCACACCGAATCTGCCCTTGCCAACAGCAGTTGGAAATCTGAAACATATTCATCAATATGACGTGCGCGCTGCTTAACGTTAAGGGGAGGGTGGTATCGTCAGTAGTAAGGGGAGCAGCTTCACGCAGGGCAGGTTGGAGAGCGGATGAATCTGGTTGGGGTGATTTGGGAATGAGAGTATAGTTATTGATGAGATCAGCCAAGGACTGTTTCAGCTCCTTAACCGAGTCAAACAAATCGTCATACTCAGCTTGAGAACGTGCGTTGTTGGGAGGTTGATCGCCCATGACGCCGGCAACGGAACCAATGTTATGAACTGATCGTCACAGGCAGGAAAAATAAGATAGAAAATAGCATAGAACTGATCTAGGTTTTCTTGAGGCCCCAGAACTCCCTAATTCCCTTTGCTGGGATAAAAATTCTCCTCCTTTTTATTAGAATTGGTTCCCCTTTTTATAGGGTAAAATACAACTCATAAAATAGGAAATAAACTAAATAAGCTGACTAGCTAAGTAATATGCTAAAATATTCCAACTTACTAAATAACGAAAGTATCTATAAAATAAGGAAATAGGTTTCCAAAAAACTGAAATAAGTATCTTTCTAAATAACCTCAACTTTCCAATTCTTTCCTAGGGGCTTCCTTTCTACCCCAACTTTCCTATTGTTGCCTCATCCTGCTTGTTCTTGGTTCTACGAGAATAATGCTGCCCCCAAAATGCATCACATTGCCATTTTACTACTTGCTTGGCCAAC